ATATGTGTGTATAAAAATATTGTTTTTACCTTTTTATAGAAAAAAGACAAAAGCAATGGCAAACCAAAAAAATTTCTTGACCGTGTGCACTTTGAAGGTGGATCAAAGTCCCTTAAAGCCATGGGTTTGATCGGAGGGAAAAGTCAATGCGGTATGACATGAAGGAAAGTCAATTATGTCGATTTTTGAGAAATTGACCTTGACCTGTTGAGCAAAACACAAGACTACGTCTTATATTAAAATAACCCTTGATTTAACAAAATTAACAAATGAGATCGCGTTTGGTCCTTAATAGGTCCGTGTCTGAACAAATAGCTAAAACGACATTTGATTTAACAAAATTAACAAAAACATTAGTAAAAAAAACCAGGACCAAAACAAATTGAATCCACACCATAAACATTACATCATGAGACCATGGTAAAAAGGAACCAAAACCACAATGACTCTTTTATTCTTTTCCTTTTCTGTACTTCCCATCTATTTTTTCGTTCCGCTGTTCTAAGTTTACACTTCAGTCTCAAAATCGTTCTTTCGCGCCTTGAGTTTCAACTCCGACGATGGCGGACTCCGACGGTAAGGCTGCAAAGGAACTAATTCACGATGTCGGCAAACAACTCGCTGCCAAACAGAAATGTCCCCACAAAGATTTCCTTGTAAAATTGCTCCGAGTAAGCTACTGTTTCGGATGTTTTCCCTTTTATCTATTTTTTCCAGTAAGATTTACGGCATCAATACGTTCGAACAGTCTGAAAGCATTTGTTTATAAATGGTTGAATTTATATTTCGACTATCTTACAGAATATTTTGTTTCATTGCAACTTATATATATTGTACAAAATATCAATTTTTACAAGTAAAGGAACACTACATGTATCCGGTTCTTGATCAGGGTTTCTTTCTGTCTCTTTTTAGGTAGGGTTTATGTTACTAATTGGTTCTTACATGCAGTTGATAGCGTTATTTTAATCTTGTTGGTTCTATTGACGCATTTCTTCCCCACTTAAAAGAGGTTTTCACTTTGTCCCAAGCAAAAATGGGCACTCCAACTAGGGTGCAAGCTAAAGTGAAAATATGGTATTAGCTATGTGTGCTTTCCACAACATATTACCCGACTTCGCTTTAAAGGGTCAAAACAAGAATATTGACTTGTTCTTGCTATAAAACTAGGTATATTTTGACCTGAAGTGTTGGGGTTGGTCAAAGGAAAAATGTTGCAAAAGGTGTTAGCTGGGGCATACTCATGCATATATGAATCAGGCAATTGGTCAAATTGTGTTTGAACATTGTAGTTCTATTGAATGTGGAGGGAGGGTAGGGATTTTTGCTCTACGAGGCTTATATGCCTTATCTACATAGGTGATAGTAGGATACATTTGACCTAGGGTATGAACTTGCCATTATTTGTGGACCACAATAAGTATTGATGGATTTTTAAAGCAATGTGTTTATTTGTTAAAGTAGTTTTTTAAGATGTTTACTTTATTTTCATTATTGTAGCTTTTAACTCATGAATCCATAAAGATGTATTTCAAAGGCGTGATATGTTGGTAGCCTAGTAACATTTTTTCATGGTTTATCTTACATCGATATACAAATTCAGGATACAACTTAAGGAAAATTATGTTATTTGTGGGATACAACTTGTCTTCAGGTTATCTATTTCTTCATGGTCATCACTCGTGACAAACTGACAATAATGTCATCCGCATGCATCAATAAAACAGTAATCTTACCATTCTTTCTTTTAAAGAACAAGGTGTGATCAGTTTAGCCTTGTGCATATCCTTGATGTTCTACTGAACTTGTAAATCTTTCAAAAAACCAAGCTCGAGGGGATTGCTTCAAATTGTAAATGGCCTTTTTTAACAAGCATAGTTGGGACCAAACTCATTCTCGAAGCATGGGGGAGGCTTCATGAATACTTCCTCTTCATGATTTCCATTTAGGAAAGCATTCTTCACTTCTAGTTGGTGAAGAGGCTAGTCTAAATTCACCGCAACAGACAACAAAACTCTTATAGACTTGTAGTGTTAAGTTTTGCCGCAGGGGCAAATGTTTCAGTGTAGTCTACACCATAAGTTTGAGTGAAGCCTTTTTTTTGACCATTCTACCTTTGTATCTTTCGAGCGTTCCATCATCATTGTACTTGATCGTGAACACTCATTTACATCCTACTGTCTTTTTTCGGGTGGAAGAGCTATTTTACCCATGTGTGATTCTTCTTAAGAGCGTTCATTTCCTCCAAAACTGGTGCCTTCAAGTGAGGACTTGTAAAGCAAGAAAGAAGGAGACAAGTTCTGTAGGCAGACATAGTTAGACATAGGATACATTACTATACATTTTCTCACTCCTTTTTTAACAGCCACTAGAAACATCAAGATTTGATGGAATATGATTATGAGGAACTATACCTCTCCTTGAGGCTTCTTCTTGACCAGACATAAGATTGGAGGGATTTATTCCTTTTAGATGGATGCTTGCATATGTCTGGCCAAAGTTCTCGTCATTGTTTGGATGATGTTGTGTGTGATCAACGTTGCTATGTGTGATAGATTAATCATTTGAATTATTTTCCAAAGAGCCGAGATTCGTACATAAAAATTCAAGGTCATTGGTACTTATCTCCGAATCTTCCCGACTCCCCTTTTAGACAAATTCTCCCCTAAAGATGAGGAGAGAAGAAAGGTGTTTTCTTAAAAAACATCCATGGTCACTAAATATTTGTTCAAGACCCGATCAAAGCATCTATAGCCTTTTTGAGAGGCTGAATACCCTAGAAAATACACTTTCGACATTTGGGATTAAATTTAAACTTTGTCTTATCTTGATTTGAGATAAAAACAGTGCACCTGAATACGTTTAAAAGGTAAATCCAGAAAAAGTCTAGGATCCAGGTTATAGTCACGAAGTTTACTTATAGGAGTTTCAAATTGTAGGGTTTTAGAGGGCATGCGGTTAAAGAAGAAACAAGCAGTTAAAAGTGCATCGCCCCAAAGTTTTTTTGGTACATTATTTGAAAACAAAAGTGCTCTTCTGACTTAAAGTAAGTGCCTATTTTTCCACTCTGCCACACCATTTTGTCATGATGTGTCAACACAAGAGCTTTGTTATATGCTATGCTGTTACAGCGGTCAAAATTTTAAAAACCGGTTATTGCGATGGTAAAACGGTGGTATAATAGTCCACATATAGCGGTTCATGTACTCGTTACAATTATATATAAATGTATAAATAGATGCATAACATAATATATATTTTGAAATGAACATAAGATTATGTGAATAGAAGAGATGAGCAATCAATGTTGGAAGACAATGTTGTTGTGAAGAGAATATGCAAAATATAGACTGGAATAGAAGAGATGAGAGAGGAATAGCGAGTTTACACACCAATATTACAAATGAAAATCAGCCCCCTAGCTCTTAATCCCTTAATCGACTTCTCTAAACCCTTTAAAAGGCCAACTTAAAGCCCAACTCATAATTGCGGCTTTCACACTGCTATTGCGAGTCAAAAGTGCAGCCCAATTGCGGTGATTAGCGCCGTACTAGCGGAACCGCTATAGCGCTACTCCGCAATAGCACTGCAATTAAAAACATAGGTTGTATGATCCCCTTTTCAGAGAAAAAATTAGTTAAAACTTTGGAAAAGAATTCCCTACCATTGTCACTCCTAAAAATGCTGATATTTTCATTAAATTGATTTTGAACCATGGTGTAGAAATTTTTTAAAATGTCCACAACTTCATGTTTTTCTTTCATAAAAAAATCCAAGTTAGCCGTGTATGGTCATCGATGAACGAAACAAACCATCTTCTTACATAAACTGTTGGAATCTGTGATGGACCCAAATATCACTATGTATGAGTTGAAATGGTTTAGATGGAACATAAGACCGAGTCGGATAAGAGGATCTATAATGCTTTGCCAGAACACATGTTGCATATTGGAAGAAAGAGGGGTCTTTATTGATAAATAGCGTGGGAAACATGCATTTTAAATAATAGAAATTAGGATGTCCCAAACGAGAATGCCATAACCAAACATCTTGATCACTAGACATAGATTCTAACTTATGATAAGAATTTTTTGCAACCATACTTGAACACAATTCATCTTCAAAGTAATACAACCCTCCACATTCCTTAGCAATGCGGTGGATATTGGCTTTGATCCTTCACCAGTCAAAAAAACCAATCTTTCCTTTTCCATCTAGGGATAGTTTAACAGACTGAGCCCCTTCCAAATACTTCTGACCATTAAGTTTCACTATTTAATCTTCGAGGCATGTAGTGAAGCAACTTCTACACTGGATGGAACAAAGGAGTCGACGGTTTTGTTGGGTGACTCAGAAGTCTCAGCCATGATGAATGATAAGCAGAAAGGAATTGGTTATTAGAAAGGAATCAATTATTGGAAAACAATGAAAACGAGCCACTCGCACCAGCCGATAACTATGTTACTAATTATAGCTGAGACCAAAGAGAAAAATAAAGGACGTAACTCAACTTGGATAAGGACAGTAGACCAATAACTAATACCCAAGCCAAATAACTCAACAAGGCTACCTCTTAGTGATAGCCAACAAAAAAATGTCGATCAACACTGAAGAAGAGTCAGCAGTAACACGAGAAGAAATTGTCGATCAATAGTAGTAGATCAATATTAACAACAATTGATGCTATTAGTTGCATCAACCAGGTCCTCTTGACAACAATTGAACCAAAAACCCTAGCCGTCGTTCGGCTTTGGTACCACGTACTATTGGAGAAATCAATTATTTTTCTCTATCTTGTATTAAACCCTTCTACAAGCTAACATATAAATACACAACTAGTTTCCTTTTTGATAGGAAACGTATCAGTTAGAATGTAATTACGGTATATATTTACTTAGGCCCATTAAACCCATGGGCCCTTAGGGTTTCTCTTTTGTCTAGGTTTTCTATCTATATATATCCTTGTACCATTTCTGTGTAAAATATAAATTAAAAGCAATAATATAATCTCTGATTACATGGTATTAGCTCTACCTGTACTAAGTCAAGGCTCCGTCTAGATTAGGTTCCTTGCTCCTCAAGGAGGAAATCGATAGCCTTTAAGATAAGAGGCTAGCTCCTGTCTTGAACGCAAGAAGCCTTCTCGCAATGCCTAACTTGTATCCATGCGCTTCATATTCGCCCGGAGTTCGCTCCATTTTTAGTTTTTTTTAAACTTGTTCTAATCAAACTGTTTTCCAGAAACGACGAATCACACTCTGAAAGGAGGCACCCTCCCTTATTACGTTACGGTCGAACCTCGCCTTTCTTCTAACAATCACTAGTTTCGCGGATCGAAATTTTTGTTCTTCGATTAGGGTTCTTGTTCTTCTAATTTCGGTCTTCCTTGTGTGGGATCGGTTTTGCTGGTTGTTTGTGGGCTTCGGTTTATCACCGTGATCTGTTCCTTGTGGCTGTTGTTTGCTAAACTCTCAGATCTGGTCGTGTTTCAAAGATACGGCTAGTAGGGTTTGCTTTTTTAGGGTTTCTTGTGCAGCAAGGGTTCTTGATCGTAGGTATTTTGGTTTATGATTTGCTGCTGTTTGGATTTGGTTGCTGCCAGTTTTTTAATCCAGATCTGGGCGTGTTCTTCTTCCTCACGACTTCAGATCTGTTTGCATTTGGGTGCTGCTTCGGCTGTTCGGTGCTGCTGAGATTCGGGGCTGTTTTGCTTGATTATTTTGGTTGACAGCAAGCTTTCTGCTGTTGTTTGAGCGACAACAAGTTTTGCTGTTGCTGTTTGCTTGCCGCCCAAGTCTAAGCTGAGGATTCAATTCGTTTTGCGGCAATTTGCTTCGGTTTGCTGCAGGTTTTCTTTCCGGCTTAGCAGCCGTCCTAGGCTACTGCTGTTTTTTTGTTTTTAAACTCTTCATTTTCAGTTTCCTTGGATCGGAAGTTTTCTGTTCGTCGGTTTCTTTGGTACCCTGTGAGTGCGTGTTCGCTTTCTGGTTTGCTATCCTTCGTCCTAAGTTCTACGTTCTCTCTTCTGGTTCGTGATTTATTGGAAGATGACTGGAGAACACAATACATCTGACAGTAACGATAGTTTACGTGTACCCGAGATGCTTCCAGCAAATGTTAAGCTCATCGACAACAAGCTTAATGGCTCCAACTACTTTGAGTGGAGCAAAACTATTCGTATCTATCTTTGGAGCATGGGAATGGCTTCTCATCTTACATCAGATCCTCTTAAAGGTAACAACTCTGATTCATGATTCCATAGTGATGCTCGTTTGTACTTGCAAATTATCAATACTATTGAGCCTTTTGTTTCGTCTCTAGTTAGTCATTGTGAATATGTGAAGGAACTTATGGATTATCTTGATTTTTTGTATTCTGGACAAAGTAATATCTCGCGAATCTATAGTTTTTGTAAGTCCTTTCATCGTGGAGAACAACAGGACCAATCACTCACTACGTATGTCATGGAGTTCAAGAAAGTGTACGAGGAGCTTAACTCTTCTTCCATTAAGTGCTGATGTCAAAGCCATGCGGACTTAGAGGGAACAAGTGGCTGTTATCAGTTTCTTGACAGACTCTATTAGATCTCAGTTCTTGAATGAATTTGCTATTCCTTCTCTTCAAGAAACATTTGCCCGTGTTCTTAGGAATGAGAATCTTCAGGATTCTCATACTTCATCACATCAGTGCTCTGCTATGGTTGGTCGAGGGGGATTTCGTTGTGGCTTCCAAGGAGGATTTCGTGGGGGTCACCGTGGTGGCTCTAGAGGTGGCCACAGTGACCAAACAACTGACTCACGGGCTACTATTCCAGATTCTGATAATGTTGAGTGTTACTACTGCCATGAGTTAGGTCACATCAAGCGCACATGTAAAAAGATTTTTGCTAGACATTCGTGGAATTCATCAGTGCACGTTGCCTCAGCCTCAGATAGTACTGTTACTATACCCGCATAAGAATATGCTAGACTTTTAGTGACTGAGAATTCCATTGCTCCGACTGCTGCATTTGCTGAGATAGGTAACTCTAATACATGCCTATTATCTTCTGCCTCCAAATGGGTCATTGATTCAAGTGCTTCAGATCACATGACAGGTAATCCCACCATCTTCTCTAATTTCAATAAACACATTCCCATCACATGTCACAATTGCTGACACCTGTCATTGGTTCTGGCACCATCGATCTTACCCCATCTATTTCGTTATCTTTCGTGTTGAGCCTACCTAATTTCTCGTTCAATTTGTTATCAGTTAGCAAAATTACCTGTTCTTTAAATTGTTGTGTCTCATTCTTTCTTGATTTATGTGTCTTTCAGGATCTGTCGACAAAGAGGATTATTGGTAGAGGGCGAGAGACTGATGGCCTATACATATTTGAACATTGTACCTTCTTCATTGACTTGTTCTAGCTTATCGCTCTACTTGAAGTTCATTGTCGATCAGGTCATCCATCTTTATGGAATCTGAAGAAGTTATGTCCTGAGTTTTCTTATTTACCTTCTTTACAGTGTGAGTCCTGTCAATTTGCCAAACATCAGTGTATTCATTTAAGTCTTAGAGTCTGTAAAAAGCGGGCTTCATCCCCATTTGAGTTAGTCTATTCTGATGTTTGGGGACCATGTTCTGTTACTTCAAAACGTGGGTTTAAGTATTTTGTTACGTTTGTTGACGATTAATCTCGCACTACTTGGCTTTACTTTACGAAAAATCGATCTGAGGTATTCACACATTTTTGTTTACTCTATGCTGAGATAAAACCCAATTTAAAGTCTCTATTCAAACTCTTCGTAGTGATAATGCAAAAGAATATTTGTCCCAAACATTTCAATCATATATGATTCAAAATGGCATTTTTCATGAGTCTTCTTGTGTTGACGCACCAGCCTAAAATGGGGTTGCGGAACGAAAGAATCGTCATCTTTTAGAGGTGGATTGGGCTTTATTATTTCACATGACCATTCCTAAAGTCTTATGGGCTGATGCGGTTGCTACCGCTTGTTTTCTTATTAACCGAATGCCTTCCGTTGTCTTGGATGGTAAAAGTCATTTCTCAGTTCTGTTTTCTACGAAATCATTGTTTCCTATCGACCCAAAGATATTTGGTACTTCCTGTTTTGTCTGCTATACCTGACCTCACATAACTAAGTTGGATCCAAAGTCATTGAAATGTGTCTTTCTTGGTTACTCTCAACTTCAAAAAGGGTATAAGTGTTTGTCCCCCATGCTTAATCGATACATTGTATCACGAGACGTTACATTTCATGAGAATGTACCCTTATTTTCTATGTCCACTCCTTGCAACCCAAGAGATAGTGATGATTTGTTGGTGTATACCATACCTATTCCTGAGTCTACTACCCTATCCGACCCGACACAGACCCAAGAGCCTACTAAACCACCGGTTCATGTATATAATAGGCGGCAACAACCTACATCAGATCCCGATCCAACACCATCTTCATCATCGTCTGCAAATCCGCCTAATGATGATCCTTTTGCTTCAAGTAATCCACCACGTTCTGATACACAGGTTCTGATCTTGATGTTCCCATTGCTCTTCGGAAGGGTAAGCGCTCATGTACTTACCCTATTTCTTCTGTTGTTTTCTATGATAAACTTTCTTTACGTTCTCGTTCTTTGATCTCTATACTTGATTCTTTATCTGTTCCTAAAACGGTTGGTGAAACTTTGGCCCATCCTGGATTGCGGGATGCTATGATTGATGAGATGAATGCTCTCGATCATAATGATACATGGGATTTGGAAAAGGCAATTGGCTGTAAATAGCTATTCACTGTGAAATTTAATCCAAATGGATCTGTGGCTCGTCTGAAAGCCCGCTTGGTAGCCAACTGATATGCTCAGACTTATGGAGTCGACTACCACGAGACATTTTTTCGTGTGGCTAAGGTACCCTCCATCCGCCTGTTTGTTTCATTAGCCGCTATTCACGACTAGGTACTACACCAACTGGATGTGGAAAATGCCGCCTTGCATGGTGATTTACATGAGGAAGTTTATATGGAGCAACCACCTGAGTTTGTTGGTAGAGTTTGTAAACTGCATAAATCATTGTATGGTTTAAAGCAATCCCTTCGTGCTTGGTTTGGACGGTTTAATGCCGTAGTGACTGAGTTTGGTTTACGGAGGAGCTTTTATGATCATTCTGTGTTCTTTACTTCATCATCTTCAGGATGTATTCTTCTAGTGGTATACATTGATGACATTGTGATTACTAGGAGTGATGAGACTGGGATCAAGAAGCTAAAAGATTTCCTTGCGTCTTGGTTTCAAACAAAGGACCTAGGTCCTTTAAAATACTTCTTGGGAATTGAAGTATCTCGTACTCGGAAAGGGATATGTTTGTCTTAACGAAATATTGTTTGGATATATTGAATGACTTTGGTATGATTGAAGCAAAACCTTGTGAGGCCCCAATGATTCCAAATATGAAATTGAAAGTAGACAATGGAGATCTACTTGAGGATCCAGAAAAGTACAGAAGAATCGTGGGAAAGCTAAACTACCTGACGATTACATGCCCTGGCATCGCTTTTCCAGTGAGTGTAGTAAGTCAGTTTATATCTCTGAGAACTCCACATTGGGACACTGTTAGCCATATACCAAGTACCTAAAGGGTGCTCCTGGTCTTGGTATCCTTTTATCAAAATCACGGTCATCATGTCATAAAAGGGTTCACAGATGCCGACTATAATGGGGATCCTACTACTAGGCGGTCTACGACAGGCTATTGTGTGTTGGTTGGAGGGAATCTAGTTTCGTGGAAAAGCAAGAAACAAAATGTCGTTTCCTGGTCAAGTGCTGAATCTGAATACAAGGCTATGGCCCAAACCACTTGCGAGCTGATATGGTTGCGTTATCTGCTAGGTGAAATTGGGTTTGCTCAATCTAAACCAATGAACCTATATTGTGATCATGAGGCGGCTATCCACATTGCAAACAATCCTGTGTTTCATTAAAGAACAAAACACATCGAGGTTGACTATCATTTCACTCGTGAAAAGCTAGAAGATGGAATCATCTCAACTCCCTTTGTTCGAACAGGAAGACAACTTGCTGATGTCTTTACCAAAGCATTACTTGGTTCGCGAATCTCTTTTATTTGTAACAAGCTGGGCCCTTAGGGTTTCTCTTTTGTCTAGGTTTTCTATTTTTATATATATCCTTGTATCCTTTCTGTGTAAAATATAAGTTAAAAGCAATGATATAATCCCTGATTACAGTATCCTTACAACTAGGAAAGAAAATAAATCTAGCTAATTTACAACTAAATTATTCTAGTTTACATAATTATCTATAATTTACATAGTTATCTAAAAAAACACAAACAAATTAAGACAATGAAGGTCTAACACTCAAAATTGTAAAGAAAAGAATTGGCATCCCAAGACAGTTCTCCTCAAAATACCATAACTAAGTTATGAAGTTATCTTTTGTTGATCCTCCCATAAGCAACATATACGTGGACTACAAGACAAAATCAGTAAACTAATTACAAAAGGTTCCCTTAATCATGGGATCCTATTCTACCTTGGTTACTTGTTCTATTTTTTTTACTACACTCCGTCTTTAGGTTGTTTAGTTGTTTTGTACTTCCTAATATGCTTTTATTGCTCTTACTTGTTTAATCCCTATTCATGTTGTTTAATGTGCTTAGTTGATCTCTTTTTCAAAGCCTCTCTTCCTTCTTGAGATTGTCTAGCTCTTCATTAACTCTTCAGAACTTCATTTCCTGCTTTTTTAGACATACATTCTGGGTCTCTAAAGAACCCTTCCTCCAAAAAAAAGTTTTTCACATAACTATTTTCACAAGCCGGTGGCTCTTTACGGAAACAATCTTTCTACTTCTTGGGATGGAGTTCCTAGACCCTAACTCGTGTGGGTTTACAGTGTTTGTATGGTTTGGTTTTTATGGGATCGTATTCTAATTGAAATATCTTTAATTGTGGGATCCTATTTTGTACTATTTATGACTATTAATCCTCCTAATTCAGTGCTAAAATTTCCCACACCTAGAGAAGCATGTTCTTAATAAATGCAAGTGGGATTTTAAGGTAGTCTTGTAACATAAAGGGTTAATGAGGCTCAAAATCAACTTTATAGATCGGAAGACCGATGGTGGAATTTGCTAAATATTTGATAATAGATGCGCTTGTATGGTAACATTTCATGATTAGCAATTTGAAAGAAATTGTGATGTTACTTCTTCAAAAGAAATGGTTCATGGTGGTGCTAATGATTTCTAAAGTTTGTAACCCCATGATGCTAAGTTTCTTTGTGTCTTTTTGGTAGCAAGCTGCAAGTGCGTTGCCAAAGTTAAAAACACAATCAGATTTGCTAAAGCCTGCCATCAAGCCCTTGAGTGATTCTATACTGAAACATGGATTGTTGCGGCAAAATGACAAAGATGTGAGGCTTTTGGTTGCCATCTGTGTATGTGAAATACTTCGTATCCTTGCCCCAAATCCTGGTTTCCGTGATGAAGACTTTAGGGTAAGTGGTTTTACTCCAATATATTTTTATGTGCTCACCTCACATTGCTGATGTTTGACTGTTTGAGCACTTGTTTCAGGATATATTTCAACTCTTACTGGGTATGTTTGCGGAGCTTGCTGATACTAAAAGCCCATATTTCTCAAGGAGGGTAGAGCTATTGGAGACTATTGCAAAATTCAATTTTTGTGTGCTCATGCTTGATACAGGATCTGAAAATTTAGTTATGAAGATGTTCACTATCTTTTTCAGTGTTATAAGGTATGGTTCTTCCTCGTACATGGAGTATCTCTGTTTCTCGTCTTGTTTGCTCTTCTTGTTGTCAGGCAAGATAACAATTTATGTTCATTCTGGGTGAGTATAACAACCTATCCTCATCCGGACTTTTCTCACTAGAGTGTATTACGCAACTATAAACCATGTTATCATATGAGTTGAAATCTTATTTGTATTTCACATGGTTTCATTATGCTTGTTTTCTCTATTATTTTCTGTGATTATGGAATTGCAGTATCCAAGTCAACCATTACATTACATATTTCTTCTCCTATATGCATTGTTTACAATGTGTTGTACTGGTTGCCCTGCAGGAAAGAGCATCCTTCAAATGTATTTGGAGCAATGTCATCGATCATGTCACTTGTTTTTGAGGAGAAAGGTTCTCAAGCACTTATAGAAGTGATTTTGCAAAATCTTTTAAAGGATGAAAAGGTAAGTTGCGAGTATCTTAGTTACAAGTGTTTTTACGCCATCAAGATTTTAGCTTGAATGATATGCAATCCATCCTAGGTGGTGGTCTGAATTCCCATACCGATTTGTCTGTCTAAATGAACGTTTTGGATTTGGTGGCACAGCTTATCACAGAATATTGTTTTGCATTCTTAATTGGTTGCTCTAATTTGAAATAACTTCCAAGTATTTCTCGTTTTGGGCACAATTAAGGGGATTCCTTGTATATGTGTATACATCAGAAGATTGGATTCCATCATATCAGCATACCTATATCCTTCTAAAGAATCCAAATACATATCTTAAAGCTCACCCTTAGTTAGAGGATAGGTGGTGGTCTGAATTCCCATACCCGTCTGTCTTTCTAAATGAGCGTTCTGGATTTGGTGGCACAGTTCATAACAGAATATTGTTTTGCATTCTTGATTGGTTACTCTAATTTGAAATAAGTATTTCTTGTTCTTGGGCACAATTAAGGAGAGTCCTTGTATATATGTATACATCAGAAAATTGGATTCCATCATATCAGCATAAACTATATCCTTTTAAAGAATCCAAATACATATCTTAAAGCTCACCCTTAGTTAGAGTATTGATATTGGACATGCTGAACTTGTTACAAATGAAGTCATGGGTCTTCTAAAACGGTATGGAGGAGATGTCAACTAATTGCTACAAAATGTTGCCCCACCCTTTCTTTATTGGACCTAAAAGTTCCTTTCTATGGGGTCTTATCATGTTGCAAACCCTAGCCACTATTATGACTCCATTTGGAGTTCCTAGCCAAACCCTAATCAAGGAGCATGAAGAGATTATAAAACAAATTGCGACTAGTAACCCTCTTGAAATCCTAAATTGTGACCAGCAATCCTGCTGAAACCCTAAACTGCAACCAACAACTCCAATTGCAAGGGTTTCCAAACCCTGTTGAAACCCTAAATCCTTTGTGATGCTTGCCTCTTAGTATCTGTGGGAAAATATACCTTTGCACTTGATTACGATGGCCTTCAATCTTTAAACAAATATAAAATATGACAGAAACATGGAACATGCTCGAAGTAGATAAAGCTAAGTTACTCTAGACCAATCATCACCAAAGGTAACAATTTATATAAGATCATCAATGATGTTGACAAAGTAAGGTCCATAAACATCAGAGTGCACAAGTCTGAAAGAAAAACTAGACCTGAAACTACTAGATGGATAAGAGGTACATAAATGGTAACCAACCTGACATCACATGAGAAGTTGATAAAGAACATATCTTAGGTTCTAACTTTTTAGATGTCCTAATGAGGGATATCATGGACACTTCCTCTCAGATATGTTGTAGGAGATTGGATATCCAAGACATATAATCCATGATCTTCACAGCTTGTGCAAATCATTCGAGAAGTCCCAAGCTCTTGAAAGACAAACAAATATAGTCCATGATGTGTGTAGCTAGCTAAACTGGGACCTTGCTGTAATTTTAGGCGGACCAAGTTTCAACAACAGTTCTCAGAAAGACGAGAAAGATCTCTGCATCTTGATCTATTGCTGGCGCATCTACCAGAATGACCTTGGGGAGCACCTTTACTTGTCACCAAGCCAGGTTTTTCTCTCCCGACCATTGTCCTCTACCCCTGTTGGATGCAACCGGAGAAACACTGCCAGATACAGCTGGTATATAGGAGAATTTGCAGCTGGATACAACTTCTACTGCTTTTTCTCTAAACAAATTTACTGTCTTATACCCAAGTCATCTTGTAAGAGACTCGGTGTTTTGCATTTTGGTAACTTACATATATATATATATATAATATTTTTTTGGGGAGGAGGGTTTTTTGTGATTCCTTTATTTCTCTCATGTCCTTTCCATTTTATTAGTATAGGATGTTCTATTTACCCTTTTGATGATCGCTCATCTTGCTTGCTTTTAAATTGACCTCTCTTTTCTTCCTTTCTCTCTTGTTAAGTATGATTTTGTTAGTTTTTTTTTGCTTTAACTTGTGCCATATGTATTACTTATGCTGGTAACACTCATTTCTTTTCTTACTTTTCCTCTGTTTCTCTTTGATTGTTCGCTCCTCTTTTTCAGGATGCATCTCCTGCTTCTTTTCTGCTTGCTGTTTCTGTTATTCAAGGTTGCTGTCAGGCACTTCAGCCGTTTGTTTGTCGTTTTCTCAACTGTTGTATCTTGGACAGAAACAGTGTAAATAGTGAGCTCAAAGAATCATATCATGCTATTATATTTGAAATCTTCCAGTGCGCTCCACAAATGCTTATTGCTGTTATACCAAACTTAACTCAGGAACTATTGGTCTGTCCCTATCTTTTTGCTAATTCAAAGTTACCTTGCAGTATATTCATATAGTACACACAATTATTAGGTCTGTGAGTTGATGAACTTAATGATCAAAAAGTTCAGAACTAAATTTTCTTTGTGAAATTCTTATGTTTTTTGTAATTTGCAGACTGATCAGGTTGATGTACGGATAACAGCTATCAAGTTTGTTGGAAGACTTTTTTCAATTCCTGGACGTCATGTTGCCCAAGAGTACCATCATCTCTTCATAGAGTTTCTAAATAGATTCTCTGACAAGTCTGCTGAAGTTAGACTTAATGCTGTATTATGTGCTAAACCTTTTTGCTTGACCAATCCACCAGGGGAGCAATCTGTTGCACTTCTGAGTAAGCAGTTTTCAAAATTCTTATTTTTGGTAGTTCCTGGTATATCATCATCTCTCGTGGTTAAGTAAATTTCTTTTTGTCATGTTTTCTCGAGTGAGCAGCTGCCCTTGAAGGCCGCCTTTTAGACTTCGATGATAAAGTGAGGACACAAGCAGTAGCAGTAGTGTGTGATCTTGCCAAGTCTAATCTCAGACCTGTACCTCCTGAAATGATAGCTCAAGCTGCTAAAAGATTACGTGATAAGAAGGTATTTTCTAAAAAAAACCTTCCAATTAGTGATCAAGTTGTCTAACAACTTATTGTTGTTTGTTTTCTATAAAGGTATCTGTTAGAAAGAAAGCTTTGAAAATGCTACTAGATGTGTATCATGATTATTGTATTAAGTGCTCTGAAGGCATCAGCAAATTGAGCATTGACTTTGAACAAATACCTTGTGGTATTCTGATGCTTTGCTATCACAAAGACACGGAGTTTGGGTATGTTGTTTGGTGCATCATGACTGGCCTAAAATTTTCTTATGTAAAGATATAACCTGTTATGAAATGTCTACTTCAGGCCACAGAACATAGAGCATGTGCTTGAAGAGGATTTATTTCCCATTTCACTTTCAGTTGAGGAGAGGACTAGGCACTGGCTTTTCTTGTTTTCACATTTGGTATCAGCTCACCAGAATGGAATTTTCAGCTCTGCTCATGAGAGGGCATTGACTGCTGTTTTGTCTAAAAAAAAACGGTACTCTAACCAGATGTTGCTCTTAACTCGCAGAAACAACTCTTTTACAAGCTTAGTTCTGTTTCAGGTTGCAAATTGAGATGCAGAGTTACCTGGAGTTCCGGACACATGAAAAGGTTTTAAATATCGAACCACTGTATGCTTTAAGATTCAGCAGTATAGCATCATTCATATTAAAACTCAATTTTACGGGTATACTGTGGTCTATCTTAAACTACACACTGCTGCTATACATTGTGGTCTGCAACACCTTGTTGTGCCCTTTCTTCCAAATGAATGCATATATAAGCATCAGGATTACCATACTCTAGTGCCTTATATTTTTTCCCTCTTTCCAAGTAGCTTGTTGGTTAGTGTTCTTCAACCCCTATCGTGAATAAATCAAGCCAACAAGATTCTTGTGATTCAGTATCATTGTTTTCTTATGTAATTGAAAAGTAGTGGGGAAGTTGCACTTACATACCTCAATTGTTTGTCCCAAGGTCTTGATGGAACTCTCATGCAGGCACATGTATGGTTAAGCTGCGATTGTTGGCATAATAACATTCTCATTACATGGTTTAGGAAATCATGAATTTAATAAGTATGCTGTCAAGTGAAATACTTCCTGGAAAAGGTTTGAGGCAGGATTTGTGCAATACAGGCACTTCATTTTAGGCATGTGCATGGAGTTGCCAGTAATCAATAATGATAATCATTGACACTTGGAATTTTTGATCTAGAATGCTATTTGTGCAAGTGGTGAATTGAATTAATAAACATGTAATAACACTAAGATTAGAAGTTCATCTGTTCTCTGATTATAATTTAGATTTATATTAGCAGCATATTTGGTTTTAAGAGTTATGGCATATCGTGTAGTTGATTAAAAACCTTTGCTTATCCTCTCTCTAATCTTTCTCTTTTTGGGATGAATATGTTCTTGAAGGTAATTGGCATAAACATTCCAGAATTTGGTTTTGGAAGATCTTGTAAATAATATGATTCTTGTCGCACACGTTTGCTTTCTGAATTGTTTCTTCTCTATAATTCTTGTCATTGTAAAGAAACTCTTTCCTGTTCAGCTTTTTTATTTTTCTGGATGGGATGTGATCTAATTTTAGTAGCGTCTTTCTTTTGTCATATATGACATATGGTGCTACAGAATATCTCTGGGAGAGGGGAAGAAAGAGTCAAAAAGTTATTTGCAAAAATGTCGACATGCTTTCCTACAACTATTAATGCAGAAGAGTGCTTTCATAAGTTACATGTGGTTAAAGATGTTGACCTTTTTAACATCTTGAAGGAGATTTTGGTTGAAGTGAAGTTTGAAAGTTCCCAGATCATCAAAGTAAGTTTTTTTTGTTTGCCGTCATCAATATCTGTGCTAAATATATTTGTTTCTGATCTTGAAGAAGAGTATATCATTAATAAGGAGATTACAGTTTGACTTGTGATAGCAAATATGTATGCCCACAAATATGGGCTCTGTGTCACCACAGTGGTAGTGCAAGTGAACACTGGTCACTACGTTCGTCTTTGAGGGATATAATGGTATAGTACCAAGATCGTATCCGCAAGGACTGGTCTTACTAAGAATCTGAGAGTTCCACGAACTTCCGGTGCAAAGTTGGGTTTTATAAAATTAATTGCTTTGAGAGTGGTTTGATGATTGTTAATATTAAATAACAAGTAATAAAAACGGGTATGAGTGCAAGCTTCTCCTAAGAGTATGATAGTAACAAAATGGTTGAAAGAACCAATCACAAAAGAACCCTTCATGATTTATTTCTCTCAAAATAATTCGTGATGGAATGTGGCCACGGTCTTGTCACAAAATTGCCACATTTGCTAACTTTGGGTTTGCCAACCTTACTAAGTAGACCTCGTAAATCTGAGTTCTACAAGTATGGAGGGATGCACATATCTCTATGACACACCAACTCGACCGATATGTTGAACCTTGGTGAAAGTTATACAAAAACCTATATCTCTATGTAATTATTGAAGATTTTTTCAAACCTCATTGCATCACTCAAACTGTATTTCGAATCTGTCCATCTCCGGGGCAATGATCTAATATTAATATAGACAAGTGATCGGCTTGTGCACCTTGAGTTAAAGCTTCAACTTGAGTGACTAAACCGAAAAAATTAGCAAAAAGTGGTAACACCCAAGTGTTACATTTTACCTCTTAGGTTTGGCTTACACCCACACCTAGAGGGGGGTTTAGCTCATGCTTAAAAGAAAAGACATAGTAGAAGATAAGAAATTCTTAAGGATAAATTGCATAAAAATAAAGTTCGGTACTGTAGCGACAAATGTTGCCACAGTTAGAATTAGAAATACTAGAAGGTAAATTGCAACTAAACTCACCAAAGCAAATACAAGATCACAGTGAAGCAGTCTTTTCAGTCGATGCTCAATGTTCAAGTGTGTCCCAAATTGATTTCCCAAAGCTTCAATATATAGGTGGAGAAGGAGAGAGATATGAAAGAGACTAGAGAGAGGAAAGGGACCTCTTGCTCTTTTTGTCTTGACTTTCTTTGTTCATTCCCCCCCTCATTCATGAATACTCCAGGGTTGACCCTTGCCTATGCGAGCTCTTCATTTCACTGATTTGGAAACAAAATCGCTGCAAAATCTTATATAAGTAGCTGCCACTGCTGTGGCGATATTTGTGGCCACAATGGCAGAATAGCTCACAAATTTTGGTCTTTCAGCTTTTCTCATCTTTAAGAACAATTTAGACCAAGGAAGGAGTGAAAGGCTCAAATGGGTGAAAAAGGGCTAAAAAGAATGACAAATAACTCTAAAAATTGGAGGTTATCACTCCCCAAACTTGAGATATTACTTGTCCTCACCTCAAATAATGAAAAATAAGAGGAAAGAAAACGTACAAAAAAATGAAGGGAATTTTTAGCACAAACATCAAAAAATGAATATGAATTTGATCAATTGAAAATTTGAAGCAATGATGCAATACCTTTGGACTTGCTTGGCGTACACAACACTTTTGTCAACATGATGTTTGGTTTGATCGTTAACATAAAAATGTTGTTGGGAACTGCTTTGGATTTGCTTGGTTTGATAGTGAACATAAAAAACGGTGTTGGGAACTATCACATAACAAAACCAGAAAACTTGGTGTACATTAGGTGATTTATTTGTGCTAGCTAGGAAAGAAATATAAAATTCTTTTTGGGTTGTAAAAATATTGGCATTTGGAGCTGAAGCGTACAAGTTATAGAGTATAGGCCTTTTGTTTAGGATGCAATCACAATACAAAGCGAAGTAACAAGAAAGGCAGATACCATGTCCTCTATTGACTACCATGAGTCTCGATAATTATTAAGTACTACTATATTAATTATCCTTGCCTGACATCTAATGATTCATGTTCTTATGAGCACCGTCCATGGCAACACGTGTGAAATATTGGAATGGAGTGTGCCAGTGTGGTCGAAATGCTAGCCAAGCACAAGATGCAAGAGCATCTTATGAGGACCTATTTCATGTGTAGAAGGGGTAATGCTAGTTGGTTCTTGATTTAATCTTTTGGTCAAGGTTCTATTCAAAAACCTAATATTTAAGGGGTTCTAATTTTCTCATTCCTCAATCAAAATGCAGTAATGCACTCATTTTACTTTTCTTGCTTTTTTTTGATACTTATATTAAACAATGCTAGAAAAAAATAGAATGATAGTGAGAGCATAAATTTGGGGTCTAGAATGTGTAAAGATAGAAGTGTGTGCTAGTTGGGTTGCAACTCTAGTAGGATGCTAGTTTTGCTGATTTCACATAAGGATAGCATGCCATCAAGAATTAGGCATAAAAATGCTCTTACCATAATATGTTGTTCAGATGGTTTGATGACATACTGCCTGAAGTGCAGGCATGGTCATGACTCATGGACCATTGATGATGGTTATGATCCCAATATGTTAGTGAATTCAGACAAGATGGACAACAATAATGTGACCATTTTAGATTTGCCAGAAACTCATCCTCTAGTCAAGTAAACTCTCGGCCTTTTGGCCTAAGCAGTTATCGAGATCCAAACTGGAATTGCTGTCAGGACTGTGATTTGATATATCGGAAATGTTGGGGGTAAAGCGGTGGTATAGCGGTAATAAATTAGCGGTCCATTTTACAAAAAGTTATTAATGTATATGCAGTATTTAAATAAATGTATTATGTAATAATATCTAATATAGTAATATTTAATAAATATAATTTTTAAACTCTAATACGAATCACGTTTTACTTAAATATAAAATTTATTTTATGACTTTTAAAACTCAAAAATTTAAAAGACCTAACCCTAATGCATATGTGGGCATTTTGGAGCTTTCATCGTCAAATGCACTTTAGTGTCACAATGCTATTGCTAATTCATTTAAGGTCTGTAAATTTGAAAGTGCTGGGGCTTGTAGCAACACAAGCTTCATCCTTAAACAATTAGGGACTTCCTCAAAGAAGTAGAAAGTATCTTCTTTGTTTGGTAGGAAGAAATTTTCTTATCTGGACATTGATTTGTACTTAACTTGACATTGATTTGGTAGGAAGAAAGTATCTGTACTTCGAGACCTATTGATGTGAAATCAAGTGCTGGACAGACAAGATTAACGTGGACAGAAAGTTGTGGATGAAACAAAGAACCAAAAACAGTAACTACAAAGTTACTGATTCAAATAACGAAAATACACGATAGTCAACAACCCACTACTCTAATCTCTAAGGGAATTAATCCGCCAAGATTAAATGGAATTGAATCACTCAAATAAGAGCCCACTACTCTAATCAAATTAATCCACCAAGAATCCAAGATCAAGGGAAAGGGAACACTCCAAACCACAAGATCAAAGATCTCTAAAGGAAATGTAGATTTCAGAATAGAGATAACTCCATTCATTTTCATCTATTTCATAAAAAATGGCCTCTTACATTTTTGGAGCCTCTGATATACAGAGGAAGAAAGTACAAATGAAAACAAAAGCTGTAAAAACCAGGATCTGTAAAACTAGTACATAAGTTTTAGCCAATAACAAAAAGAGAAGTAGAATCTGCAGCAGGGGACCACTTCTCAGCATATCTCTTCTTCAGAAATGTTGATCATGTTCCCTCCAAAATGCTGAAATTTTGAGGTAGGATTGGAACTGATGAGGTAGGTAAAACAACCATTGCTTGACTCAAGTCATGACAATTTCTTGTTTACACTTGAATCACCTTTGATCACTTATTCACAAAATTGTGCGGGGCTAATTGTTTTCATTTCGTATGTCACGGAAAATCATTTTTCTCACTCAGACTTTACCCACTTTCATGGAAGGACAAGATAGTCTCGTTTTTATAGCCGTGTTCAACTTTATCATGCTTCCTTCAATATTAATCGTTTTTATTGGTAATTCTAATCATTGTTTTTATTGGACAAAGTAATTTGTTGAAAGATGAAGATGCACCCAAACAAGTGTGGCAAAACCGACAAAGCAGCAAAACCAAACACAACAAAGTTTAACCATACTGTTCTTATATTTTATTTTGTTTAACCTGAATAATCTCTTTTAATTTCTGTTATTAACTACAAATTTCTCATTTTGAAGGATAATTTTCTCAGGAAGATCAAGGACATGCATTCTATTTTTGAGTTTCTGCAGTCACTCGTGACACAATGTTCATTTAATATCTTTAGTGCTGATCACGTGAGCTGTATACTATATCATCTTTCTAAAGGCAACTTTCGAGAGGCAAATTTAAAGAATGCTTGTGTGACGCTTCTTATGGTATGGAACCCTGCTTACTGAGTTCATCGCAATTTAAGCACAGATGTGTCTTGTTTTAAAATATGTAACGGGCAGTGTTTGATGCACAGTTTTAGCTCATTAGGGGCCGTGTATATAAACATATCTTTGTTTAATTTTTTCTAACAGGGTTCAAACCCACTATTTCTAGTTTGCATCAGGAGTACAATTCAAACAAGGGAAACATGGATTTTTGTTTTATGCTTATAAGGATATTGGTTTTGTGTACATCATATTGTTTTGTGTTGAACTAGTGGATCTTCTCATTTCTGTGTATAAGAGTATCGTTTCATATTTAAGTTTGTTAAAATAAGAATATACTATTCAAAGTTTTATAGTTATATCAGTTGATTCATTTGCTTAATATGCAAGTAAAATTGCATTGTTTTGAGTTTTATACTAAGTGAATGTTATGTCTCTTTTTATTTAGATTATTGTTGATGCTTTCCCGTTACTTCTGAGAGGTTCAGAAGAGCAATTCTGCATTCTGTTGTTAGAAGAAAAATCTCTATTCTGTAATGAGCTGCTTCAAATATTGGTTAAAGCTGGACGGCATATTTCTCTCAACCTCAGGTAATCTACTGTTTCTGCTTTGTATGGGCGACTTTTATTCTTTGCTGGATAGTTTTAAAAGAAAATGGGTTCCATTGAATGAGATAGTTGATGATAAGTTTTCATGTTCAGCCAAGTCCGTTGTCACAGGGGTTATGTGTATATGTCCCCATTTGAGCCTAACTGTCTAAAGTCAAAGCGACTCCTAAAAAGTTTGAAAGGCATGGGTGTCCACTCTTGGATATTTTAAGAACATCTGGCCTTGCAAATCTAGAGAACATGACCAACCAAGTAGAGCTGCAAAGGCCGACATTTTAAAAATTATAAATTGTTCACACACATCAAAAGTATAATTTAGGCTATCTGATTTGATCTTTTTTAAGTTTGATCTTCTAATCTTCATCAACCACAATAACCTTTTCATTGCAAACTACTTGGTAAGTGAAAGATCCCAAGTGGCTGAATGGTAAAGAGGTGAGTGATCCTAGGACTGTGAAGGACATCCACCTTTCCGGTCTAAGGTCTTGGTTTTTGATGTACTCCAATCTTGCCAATTTTTATGGACTTATTATGCTATGTTTATGTTGGTCTACACTGCCTCTCCTAATACCCTCATTTTAGTGCATACATTTATATCAAGTCATTTCCTAGGAAATGAGGTGTTGTTCCTTGTGAAGTTTAGCGAGAAAGCCATGAAAAATTGTGCTTTTGGCTGTTCCCAAAAGATTCAACTTTACTAGTAGAAGCAACAACAAAAAAAAGACGAGATTATTAAGTCGTATTAGCTCACAATATGGATCCTTTCCATTCGAAAACTAAATTATTGTAATTCTTGACCAGATCATCCTTATATTTACTTTTTGGAGTATTTACAATGGGTAGGTAATTAGATATTGTAGAAGAGGATGCACCTCATGTAATTAGATCTTGCAGAAGAGGATGCCCTCGAATATTTATCTCGGACACATGCATATAAAAACTTTGCGTGTATATACAGATAGATTGGTGATGCACCTCATCTAACTATGGTAGCACTAGCAAGTGTTTACCTGTTCATCTTTTGAGTTTTACAAGAATAGTGCGGTAAAATACAATGGATGGCTCTTCTTAGTGGTTACATGCTATTGTCAATTCCTCATACTTGGTACTATTGGAGCATTCCAATTGGTTGAATTGCCAATGAAAAAATAATATTTTTCTTCCGCCTTTCATAGAAAATAAAGTGGCAAAGATAGAGAGCATTCATGAACGTGGTCAACTCATTTGAGGACTATACTAATTATGCGTTATCCGATGTTGGATGGGTCATTTTAAAAAACTTTATTAACCATACAAAACATGATTTTAACCTTTTTTTGCCATCTGATCTACTTTTCTGATAGTCAGCGAATAGATAATACTTATCTTTTCTTTCCCTATAGAAAAGTAGGAAACAAAAGTATTGGTCATTAAACTAGGTACATAGTGTGAGGGCACACCGTGATGTTACTAGGCCATTGGTGAGTCATTGCGTAGATGGAGTTGAACAAGGTAGGTAACAAGCGGCATCACGTTGATGTTGGTGAATCCTTGGGTAGACGAAGGAAGTCATTTGACGAAGGTTCTAATGTCAAGATATATTACTTCTATTATATTGATCATTAATCAAAGGGGCAGGTTATGCAAGAGTAGGCAACTAGCCCATTATCGGTATCCTTTGGTGGTTGATTTTGAATCACTTGTTCGTACTGATATTTGATGTTCTTCTATTGTTCAATATGTGTTAAAGGCACGATGGTTTGCTACTTCCATTTATGATTGCGCTTGCACACAAGTACCCTAGGTTACTCAAACACAAATTAGACAGTTCTATATTCCCAAATTTTATCTCCATGATAAAGAACCGGTTTGGTATAAATATCAAAATACACCTATCAGATAGTGTCAGATTATTTCAATCAAATTGTTACTTATACTCCCAAAAGGAATAGATAATAAATGAGTCTCCTTGTATTAAAAATGCCCCAATAAAATGGTGTCGCTAAAAAAAATGAGCATCTTCTAGACCAAATTCGAGTATTGTTATTTAGATAAATGTACCAAAATATTAGTTGGGGAAGTTGTCCTAATAGCAACTTATGCCATACTATCCTCTAGAGTTTAAGATTCAAAATATGTGTGCTCTTCATTTTACTCCAACTTGTCAGTTACAAATAATCTTGCACCTCATATCAATGGGTGTATGTCATTAGCGAAGACCTTCGAAAGCTAGACCCTAAAGAATTGAAATGTGTCTTTTGTGGGGTATTCATAATTCATCTACTGAAAAAGAGTCAACCTGTCGTCATCCTATCAATAATAAAGATTAGGATCCTACAATTAAATAGATTTTAGATGGAGTAAGATCCCACAATTAAAGGAACTTTCCTTAAGTTGTATCTTGAATTTCTATTATATTATCTATTTACATTGCCAATTAAAGGATCAATGTAAGATAAACCTTGAAAAAATGTTACTGGGACACCTTGAAAAAATGTTACTAGGACACCTTGAAAAATGTTATTAGGTTACCTTGAAAGCACGTAGTCACTTAATATGTTGTGGAAAGCCTAGTAACATTTTTCAAGGTTTAACTTACATTGATCCTTTAATTTGCAATGTGAGTAAATAATAATATACAAATTCATGATACAACTTAAGGAACGTTTCGTTAGTTGTGGGATCTTACTCTATCTAAATTCTATTTAATTGTCGGATCCTAATCTTTATTATTGAGAGGATGACAACAAGTTGACTCTTCTTCAGTAATACCCTACAAAAGACGCATTTCAATTCTTTAATGTCTAGCTTCCTAAAGTCTTCGCTAATGACACACACCCATTGATATGAGGTGCAAGATTATTTGTAATTGACAAATTGGAGTAAAATGAAGAGAACACATATTTTGAATTCTAAACTCTAGAGGATAGTATGACGTAAGTTGCTATTAGAACAACTTCCCCTACAAATATTTTGGTATATTTCTCTAAATAACAATACTTGAGTTCGGTCTAGAAGATGTTCATTTTTTTAGTGACACCATTTTATTGGGGCATTTTTAACACGAGAAGACCCATCTATTATCTATTCCTTTTGGCAGTATAAGTATTGAAATAAACTATCTGATCGGTGTATTTTGATGTTTATACCAAACTGGTTCTTTATCATGGAGACAAAATTTGGGAAATAAGGAACTAATGTCAATTTGTGTTTGAGTAACCCAGGGTACTTGTGTGCAAGTGCAATCATTAATGGAAGTCAGAAACCATTGTGCCTTTTAACACACGTGGAACAACAGAGGGACCTCAAATATTAGTACGGAGAAGGATTCCTTGGTTGTTGACTTTGAGGTAGGAGTGCACTTCTTATTGATGATTCTGAATCAAAGCATTAAAGTCATAGCAATATTTGAGCTATTAATTTCATTCATCGACGAGAATCAAACCAAATAATGGATAAAAATCATCTTATTGTCTTTTTTAATTTCCAGTTAATTCAAATTCCAAAATTAGTTATGAGAAGTCTTCAGTGATTAGATATTTCCTTGCACCAAGACACTTGTATGCTCTCCCACAATTCTATTTCATGGTTTAGGCGTTCCTACCTTTTCTATGATTAATGGACAATCCAAATTGCTTTTCTTGATAAACCGGCATTTATATGGAGATTTAGGAGGACCGCTTTGCAGATTAAGCAACCCTTTTTATATTGTTAAGATATTTTTGGTGGTATCCCACATGATCACATTAAGTCATTAACTAGCTTGCGTTGATGTTTCACCAAAGCTAAGCATGGACTGATACTATTAGTAATCACCATGGGATGTTCCTACCAATCTTCATTTTATCCAAAAACACAAAATTAGCACTTCATGTACCAAGATGCTCAACAGAGAGATTGTCAAACATGTGTAATAGAATACTTGTGTTGGGTACGGTAATTGAGAAAAAAAATCAAGATTAGGAAAGAGCTGTGATGGCAATGTCTAATAGATGACCCAAAATCCAACTCTATTTGGGTTATAATCCTCACAAACCATTATCATTTACATTAAAAATGAAGAATTAAAACTGGAGAAATTAAGAACCTCCGGTGATACAAGTTGATAACCCACCAACTACATAATGTAAACTAATGTGCATGATTGACTGATGGTGCAATGCACTTTTGTGTTATTTTGTATTTGGTATAATACGAATAGGCTGCGGGAAGCAACTCCATTATCATCATGAAACATTTGCAATTTGCCCAAATAAAACTTGAACAAGCTGCTCGTAAATGCTCTGAGTAGGTTGTGCTAAGAAAGCCCGTTGCATTTCTGAATCAAAAATCTTTTTTTTTGAAGCAGATCTGAAGAATGTTCGTAGGATAACCTATTCAGGGGTGTTCAAAACCCGAATTATCCGAAATCCGAACCCAAACTCGAACCTGAACCGAAAATAAGGTATTTATGTAAAACCCGAATACCCCGAAATTTGAAAACCAACTTTTTGGGGAAAATTTGGGTTCGGGTTGGGTTTGATTTTTGGCCACCCGATCCACCTGAAAACCCGAAATATATATACATATATATTTTAAATACTACATAAATGTACTTATTTATCTAATTATCTTCTGAAAATTTTAAAAATCATAGTCGGTGGTGTTTTTTTCTAATTCCTGAGCATACTATTGATTTATCAATCCTCTAAATCGATTGGATATATATTCTTTGCATTATAACTAAGCTCGAACCCGACCGACCTCAACCCGAAACCCGAACAACCCGAACCCGATGCAATCCGAAATCCAAAAATTGGGGCTTGATTTCCACATTAGAAATCTGATCGGGTTTTTGATATTCCCACCCGAACCCGCCTGACCACCGGATGAACACCCTTAAACCTATTATTGAACAATTATATTTGTAGTCTAATGCAGTGACTTGTAACCAACTTGTCATGGGCACTAGACTGCTAAAATCGAAAATTGGAAGTTGAAAGACAACCATAGGATATGTTGGGGAGTTTCAACTTGCAACTTGACTATGTACAAAGAGATCGTTCACATATTGGTGCACATACATGATTGGATCGGATTGGACAAGTGCTGTGTGGTGGTTGATACGACTAGGATTGGATAGGATAGGACTTGACAAGTTGCCCCTATAGTTGTTTGATGGTTTTATACATCATATAATAGTTTCAACACAAATCAAGTGAAATTTTAAATTATTTAATTTATATACATTTTTACACAATTTCCATATACATAAATACATACATATATAATAGTACCAAGTTTGAATGAAGAATTTGATATAATTGATGGTATTTCGAAAAATCGTGATTCGTACAAAGGAAACACTATGTTTTATTCGGTTTTGAAGATGCTTATAAATTGGAGGAGGCATGGTGAAAGTTGTTGCAACGATAATGGTGATAGAGGTAGAGGGTGGTGGTTGTTGGACGAAAATGACTCTGGAGGACATGAAGATGGTGAACGGGGATGGTGGTGGTTGCCAACAATGGTGGAGGAGGTAGTTGTGGCCGATGTGGTAGAGGTAGTGGAGGTGGTGGCAGTGATAGTGATACTACTGATACGATTACGGATACTGATAATAGTAGGTGATAGTGATGGTAATGGTAATGGTGGTGGTCATGATCGAGGTGGTCGATAGTGGTAGCGGTGGGCGGTGGCCGATGGTGGTTGTGGAAGAGGTTGTTGTAGTTGAGGAGGTGGAGGTGGTCGGCAGTGGCTACCGGTGGCTAGTGGTGGTGGTAGCGGCAACGACGACGGGCGGTGGTGACCATTAAAACAAATACCATATTAGGGTTATTTATCAAACGAGGGTAGATTTTTAATTTTTTAGTTTCTATCTCATTCTTGTTCATCTTGTTCTACTTATTTTGGTGGACAAGAGAGCCTTTTTTGTCCCAGGCTGTCCCAATCCTTGTCCCTGTCCTATGTCACGCCAAATGTGGAACAATGAGTTTTTGTCTTGTTGAGTTTTGTCCCATCCTGTTCTGTCCCATCCTGTTCTGTCCCATGTACCAAACGTAGCCAGAGTGTGCAATTTGCAACTTGACTATGTGTAAAGAGATAGTTCACATTTTGACAATGATGGTAGATCGACTGTAACAGCCTGTTCCCGGAAGTATCTTCCTTTGCCCTTAGTACAAGTCATTGTAAGAAACTTCATATCTTAAACTTTTTATTTCATTGTAATAGAGTTACTACAGCAGCGGAAATGCGAAAATTTACAACTTATAATATTCTAACATCCTAGAATAGCAACACTTCAGTTGGTTCCTACTCCTTGATTCCTGAGATACATACATGAATACATAAGCTTTAAGCTTAGTGAGTAGTTATGGTTTCATGATAATACATTCTTTCCAAATAGTTAACATAAATCTTATGAACTTTCATGTATAAAAACATTTATTTGAGATCTCACGGTTACATGTGATGTAAACCAACTTCTCACATGTTCTTTAACCTCGGGTCCACATAAGGGGTGCCCAATAAGGTCCGTTTGCAAGATGTACTTTCTTTCTATATCCTATACGTTGGATATTTAAATGGTTATACTTAACATGTATAAAAACGTTCATATACCACATGCGCATCATGACAGAAAAGGTGTACTTTACCACATAATCATAACATAACTTTTACAAGAAGATATGGCAATACTCTTTCATGCATAAAACATTGATATATATAGCATGTATTATCGTAGTAAATCTCATAACGTACTCACCTTGACTATGCCTAGGTTTTCCCTTAATTCCTACCTTCAAGCTTGATTAGGTATAAGGAGAGAGATTTCTTATTTTTGGTATGAAACTAATGATAACACTTCAATCACTATTTATAGTTAAATTCATTGCATTAGCTACTTGTAAGTAATTCAGATAAATAGTTCTGGGGTACTCTTTGATGGAGAAGGTTCTAGAGAGTCTAAATGTTCTCGTGGTTGCATTGTATTTTGTGTCTCATTCTGTATGGCATGAAAATCATGCAATTTGAACTACTTATGTATATATATATATATATATATATATATATGATGTTATTGCTCTATGTTTCTTGACTTGGAATGACAAATGCAAATTTTATTGTGTAGTGTTATCTACCCTTTCTTAGAGGGGATCTGCCTGAATGGAACTCGTGCTCAGGCCAAGCTTGCTATTTCTGCAATCAGTGAATTAATAGTTTCTTCTGAGCAGTTCAGTTTCTCAAAACTGTCTAAGGTTTGGTTATATCTGCATTTTCTCTAGCTAACTGCTTTAATTTCATCTGCTTTATACTTCATTGTGAACACTCACTTGCACCCTACAGTTTTCTTACCAAGAGGCAATGTCAAATATTTGCATGTTGAAACAACCCTCATATTCCAATTACATATAATTCACATTATCATACTCATAATACTAAAATAGTATTATTACAAAACATAGACTATCAAAATGTTTCTTTAATACATAAACAAACAAGCTAATATCATCATTCAGACTTTTCCCTTCCCTTTATCTTTCAACATACGCTGAYCTGCAAAACAGGTTAGTCCAACATCTGAGCGTTAGACCAAAAGGTTTAGTGAGTGTATAATCTCATACAAACAATATACATTCCAAACAATCAGTTTAGAATCAAACCTGTTCCGAAACATAACATATTTATGTTTCTCGCGGTTACACCGCCATTACATTCTCTTATCTCTTTCTTGCTCGCGGTTACACCGCCATTATATCTCTCTCGCGGTTACACCGCCATC